GATAAGTCTCCAACCCCGCGCCTCGCCGCACGCTACTTGCATCGATAGAATGACCAAATCAAAAAGTGGTAGTGTATATTTCCACGTTCAACGGAAGATTCATTCCGATTTTGCTCACTCTATTGATGGAATGTGTGTGTATGTGTGTGTGTGGCGGGGGGGGAGGGGAGAGAGAGAGAGAGAGAGAGAGAGAGAGTGCAATGACTTGCTGATTTCTACTGCCGAGATTGACTGCGAGGCTGTACACTAACCAGTAAGGTTAGATTCGTAATTTTTGTTTGGCTGAGGGCTAACCGAGAGACCTGCCTGTAGGGAAATTGGTGAGGGACATATCTGCAATTCTGGGAAATTATAGGCCCAGTACTAACCCGAATTCCTACAGCTACCCTAACTGCGTATAGCAGGCCCGGGCCACCCCTATGCTGATAGACGGTCCTATAGCCTATAGCCGGGTCCGGTAGAGGCCGAGAGGCCGAAACAGCAACGGTACCGGTCAGTCAGTCAGTCTGGTCTAGGTCTAGGTAGTCTATAGATAGGTTAGGCCCATCGGTTCAGGACTTTTGGCAGTTCATTTCTCGCGAAGCAGTGTTGGAGAAGCCAAGCAAGTTGGTGGCGGAAACGGTCTGCAGGCGGCATCCTGAGACCTCGCTGTTGACAGCAGCCATAGCCGGCCCAGTCTGAGTTTGCCATAGCTGGGGCATCCTCAGCAGTGGGGTGTGAGTTCTGAGAGTGGCGACATACTGGAACAAACTCTGTTACGATAATTGTTTGAGTGGCTCATCATTAGTGTGGATTCCAATTGTGATCTTCGCAGGTTCTTTCTTGTGATTAATTGTTCGGAGTTGAGTCAGAGAGTGAGAAACACTGTGTGTTCTCTCCCCATCTGTGCATGATTGTCTTCCGCTGCTTATTTTCACCTGTGTGCAGTTTGGACTTGTCTCCTCTCTCCCCTTCTTTTATGCATGTATGGGCTTGTATGGGCATGTGTGAGATTGTCTGTGTGTGAGTGGCGATAAAATTCGTCAGACAACCAAGTTCATCCAGGTAGTGTATATTTCCATGTTCTAGCCGAAGATTATGCAGACAGAGAGAGAGAGCCGATAAGTCTCCAACCCCGCACGGCAACCAGGTAGTGTATATTTCCATGTTCTAGCCGAAGATTATGCTGCTCATCCTATCGATGGAAGTAGCATGACGCGAACCACGAGGTTGGACACTTATTGACTCTCTCTCTCTCTCTCTCTCCCTCTCTCTCTCTCTCTCTCTCTCTCTCTCTCTCTCTCTCTCTCTCTCGCGCGCGCGCGCGCACACACACACACGATCGATTCATTCCGATTTTACTCGTCCTATCGATGGAATGTGTGTGTGTGTGTGTGTGCGTGTGTGTGTGTGTGTGTGTGTGTGTGAGAGAGAG